ACAATGATGGTTGTGTTATGTGAGGATCTTTTAAATGATGTACATTTTGGTGAAACTTTCCCTGAGTTAGACTTTAACTCCATCGATTGTTTTGAGGAAAATGCAGTTGAGTTTTTGTATACTTATTTTTACATGTATAATATAATGATAATGGTGTACTAGGAATAACTGACAATGCAGACACTATCTAAACAAATAATACTGTATTTGCTCTAATAGAAGCATAAAAAATGTGTTTCCTGTACTGGATTATAAAAATGTGACATTTTGACTATGGATTTGTCTCTCATGGGGCCTCTAAATTTTCTTAGTGTAGAGTTTAAGTTCAGTCTGAGAAATTTTCATTCATTTCACAACATTTCTCAGTGGGAAATTTGTTTTATAAGGAGAACACTACAAACCTTCTGAGAATGAGTGTACCTATATGTATAGTAGAGCAAATACAGTATTGATTCAAAAATGTCTTTAGAGCTACCATGATGAATTGGTCTGCATTTGTCCTGATTGAAAGATTTCTCATAGAAATGTTAAAATTCTGTGTCTAGATAGATTGTCTAATATTCTAACAATGGTTTTTACTGGAGATACAATTTTGAATTAGGACTACAGTTGTGACACATTAATAAATAGGCTTATAAAAGCATCCCCTCTGATATTCGATGTAATATTGTCCCAACTTGTCCCTCTCTGTGTTTGTATTAAAAGTGGACCTAACTATAGGACAACTCACACTGTGATGGCGTTTGTGTACATTTTTGCCAACAAGTTGTTTTATTAAAAGAGACATTTCATAGTATATTTAATGACAGAAGTGAACAATGACATGACTGGTAAAACGAGTGTGAACTTATAACTATTGTATTGTGCTTTTATCGTACGTAGAACGAGCCAGTTGTCAATTTCAGATAACTCAGATGTCTGCATTGTAGAGATTAACGAACGGCACATGCAGAAATAATGCATGCTGCTCATTCAGATTGTATTTAATTTATTATAGATAATGATTAACACAGATTTCTATCACAATGCTGCTTTATCTAGTGCCCTCTGTGGTGAGTAATTTCAGAACAATACAGAATAATGATTGCTACTGTAGCTGAAATTAAATTGCAAAATTGAGAAACAATTTAATTTTCAAGAAATGTAATGTATGATCATCTTATTCATATCATGCTCAGCTAGTTAATCCAGGGTGTATTAAAATGTACTGTTTTTAATTTCCATGACATTTTTCAGAAATTCCTCAAAGGTATATAGAAATGTGATGTGCATTCAAATGCAAGATGTTCGTTTAATCCAAACACAAAATTTGATATTGTACCATTGCTGAGTAAGATTGGTTTTATTTTTTTCTGGAGAGTATTTTATTGATTAGATTTGACAAGGAAGTCACCTATGGTGTGTATTTGTACATTGTTGTTTATGTATCCATGAATATGAGAGCAATAAAATAAGTCTGACGTTACAAAGTTTTGGGATTTAGTTGTAATTTTGTTGACTCGTACTAGTATTAGAAGAAATAACTGTTTAAAATAAGGCTGGCCCTGGCCCTTTTTTACCTTGCCCGTACCATCAAAGATGGAAGGGAAAGGTATATTAAGGGAAAAATTTTGTCCGGCGGCGTCGTCGTCGTCGTCGTTGTTGTTGTTGTTGTCGTCGTCGTTAATAATTGTTATTGTGTGCATAATAACTTTACTAATTCTATTCCAAACTTTATCAAACTTGGTCATCTTATTAATCAGTATAAAGTCTTCCCTGAGTTTGAACAACAGATGTCCTGTATGAAAATATCATGCAAAAATTGAGAAAATCTGATAAAATATTTTGACTGTTTCTACTTGACTGATCACTGGTGATACACATCAAAGGTCACTGATCTCAGTGGAAATATGCATTGTTGTATGTGTTCAATGAAGCAAATGATTTTTCTTGTAATAATATCCTTGGTAAGGTATCTCAGAATCCCATACTGGGTTTCAAAACCAACTCCTGGATGATGAAC